CTATGATAGGAAAGTAGGATTCTTGCAGTACTTTTCATGGTACAGTGATGTTTTTACATAAATATAATTACAAATTATTAATTATTCCCGGGGGTAGTGTTGAACCTTTCACTTTTTCATTAAGGCATTTTTTCTAAAGTGCTTCCTGTAGTACAAGTCCCATTGAAGTCTATAGAATGCATTATTAGGGCTGGGCAGTAATATCGATATTTCAATATATTGCAATACAATGACAAAAAATATCGTATCGCAATACGATTTTGTAATATCGATATATTGGCAATATGCAAAGATTAAGGAATTTTGTCATTAAATGTAAAAATAGACTTATGAAAGTTTGTTATTAAGCCAAGCAGTAAGTCAGAAGTTGTTTTGTGGGAACATTTCAGAGCATATCTTAAATAAAATCAACAAGATTTTTTTTTCCATGTTGGTTACTTACCATAGTTATGTAAATTCTGCATGTAAATTAAAGTAAATATAGTAAGAAAATGCCATTTTTATTACATTGAAAATATTGCAATACATATCGCAATACAGTTGAAAATATCGCAATATATCGCAATACGAAATTTTGGGCCAATACCCAGCCCTATGCATTATGATTGCAAAATTTTATCCATGACTTTTCCGATTTCTTAGTGTTGCATATTTGGAGGCGGCGATTTCCCAGTTATCGTAATGGCGCCGGTTCTGACGTTTTCCTAGCATGTTATATATCAAGATCGTAAAAAAGCCAGGAAACGTAAGATTTTTCGGACTTATTTCAATAGTGGTCGTTATTTAAATAGTATTTGCAAGAATTGGTTCTAGTGTTAGGAAGCGCTTTGTTGAATATATGTATTTGCTTCATAAAAGTTCAGTATTTCTTTGAAAATCTTCTCTGCTCAGGGCATCCAGGATCTTGAGCAAACAGAATACAAAGTTGCAATCAAGGGTATTTTACAAGTATTCTTGAAATTTTTGTTGACCACTTCGCCAAATGTTGTGGATCTAGACAGAAATCTCTGAATTTGTATTCTGTAAGAAGTTATATTACATTTTCTATTTGTATGCGATAATCAATCACTTGAAATAGTGTAATTGAAAGGTGGATAAGTTTAATACTTATAATTTTGGAGTAAATATAAAGCATAGAAACAAATTAAGGCAAGCACAGGCAAGTACGTTAATCTATGTTTTAGGTCATCTGAGTAAATCAGGTGACCTATTGCTTTCTGTTTTTTTCCGTCGTTGTTTAACATTAGGACATTTTGAGTTCGCTCTGCAACTGCTCAATCAATTTCAATCAACTTTAGTAAAAAGCATATATGGGAGCAAAACATGAATTTCATCCCCACTGCACCTGAGGGGTGGACGGAAACTTGATGGTGGTATATCCTGATAAGCTTGAGATAACAGATACCATAGTGACTGAAATATCTGTTTCATATTTGGATATTTTAGTTAAAAAATACGTTAATGGTTATCTTACAACCAAGCTAGATAATAAAGGTGATGACTTAATAATTAACTTTTCTATCGTCAACTTCCCTGACCTATGCAGCAATATACCTTCATCACCTGCGTACGGAGTTTATGTATGCTCTACGTAACTATGAACAATTTTTAAAACGAGGTAAATTATTGACAAAAAAAAATGAAACAAAATCATCAGCGGTCTCGTTTAAAGTCATCATTTCACTATAAGTTCTTTTGACAATGACCTTGTCAGCAAATACATTTTATCATTGGTCGCCCAAGTGGCACAGTAGTTAGAGCGTCAGCTGTTCCAAAGTAAGAAGTTGATCCTTAAGTCGTGGTTTCGAATCCCACTCTGGGATGTGAAAACCCGTCCTTCAGATGAAACTTTATAAACCGGGTTCCCGTGCCGCACTAAAAACACCCCTATCTGCTCAACGGCCCAGAGTGCCGAGTAAAGGACAAAATTTGTAGCTCTCCATCGGCAAGTGGTGGCGATTCTATATAAGTGAAAAATTCTTGAGAGAGACGTTAAACAATATACAATCAATTAATCAATATATCCTTGAGTCATACAGATGACCTATTGTTTCATACTAATTGTAAAGTTAAACTTATTGTTTATACACTGATATGTCGACGGATTTTACCGTTATTTCCGTGTATAATGAAATGGTAGGACCAAGCCATACCGATTATACAGTGAAAATGCATTATACCTGAATAGAAAACTTTCCCTCTGCCCTGGGTATGAAATAAATGTAACTAATATAGAAGTTTTGTTATGTAGGGAAAGGAGATCTAGATTAAAATTTTGAATTGTTTGACCCCATGATCAGTGGATCGTGTATTAGGGCGGGGCTAAATAGATTATGTGAAAATTCTCTGAAAATCTTCTTCTCTGTTCCTTGGAATTAAACTAATACATACGAAGTTTGGTAAGTAGGGGCGCCTGCTCCTGGGTATGAAACAAACTAAGAACATACATTAATATACATTCATTGACTGAGTTTGAAGTCAACATGCGGTATGATAAACACATGACCCAAACTGTTTGCCCGAGGCCGTTAGCAAGGAGTTTGAGTGTCGACAGACGCATTTTCCAGAAGAAGAAAACCAGTAAATGTTTCGTTATACAATTTTTTATATATTTTTTGACATACATGTATCTGGTACTGTCTTCTGTAAAGTAAACATCAGGTCAATTAAAGAAACGAGAAATGGCACACTCTTTACTATTTTTTTTTTCTAATACCTTTCTTTAAAAATATCTCCCTTAGCTAGACATTCATTCTGTAATACTGTTATGTCAATAATGCAACTTATAAGTGCTTTTGATTTGATGTTAACTTGCTTGTACGGAGTACGCATAAAATGTCAAAACATGACTCAGAGGAAACCCTTAGAGATATTTTCTTTCCGGAAGTTTTTATTCATTGAAAAGTTTCGTCCTATATAATAACCTTCCTTCCATATATAGATTTCAACTTGTTTTCTTTGAATCGGAGAATATTCTACAAAAAATAAATTAAACTTCATTACTTTTGATAAATACAAAAAAGTAATGCATGTATTTGATCAATTTATGTACAATCATACTCACATAGAATATCTTTATATATCAAGTGCGACTTGCATAAAAAAAATATGCACAATCATGTCTATCAAGAAGTTTTTATTCTTGCATATAATGGTTTTTAATAAGCTTTTTTACTCGCTTCTTTTTCGAATTTGTTACCCTAAAAAAAATTCTGTACAATGAAGCTGATTTTTTTTTTTTTTTTGAAAACAGGAAGAAATGTTTACCAACTATTGGTTGCACATCTTCATGTTTTCTTTTCTAGCAATTTTGCCCCTACTTCTTTCAATTACTTAAATCAGCTCGATCTTGTAATGCTCAATTTCTGTCACTACTTGTGCTAGTCTTCTTGTTTGGTAGAAGGCCTGCACGTTCTAGAAATCTACTGTACGTGTTATTTTTCTATTGAACACATGGTACAAAATTTTCTGGTGGTATTTCATATGCTTTAAGTAGTCTTAATCCTTCTTACATAATTTTGATCTCTGGTTAAGGTTTCTATTGCTGCATTTTGGACATCTTAGACATAACAATCCTCTTGAACTAGAAAGGCAAGTGTTTCTTTCAGAGTAATCTTTCTTGAAGATGATTGTGTTCCATTGCATTTAACTTGTGCTCATCTACACGGAATTTCTGACTGGATCTTTATCCGTAGCCTTTTAATTTTCCAAGCCTTCCCAAAAAGACATTGAAGATATTTGTCCCATAGTTCGGCACTAGCTTTGCATGCACCAGGCCATATCCGCACACTGGTTAGTCATACATGCTGTGCATTAAGAGGTGTAGTCTTCAGCTTTGTGTTTTCTTTGGGGCCGTACGGTACCTTATATCTATCTGCTTCTTCTGTGAGGTTCCCATGCAATCACACATTTGTTGGTTGCATTATGTGCTGTTTTGAACTTAGATTAATAATTCATCAGAACTTTTTATATCTATGTAAAACTAAAAAAAAACTATATAAGCAAACATTTCTTTAAATAGGAGGTGTATTTTTCAGAAGTTTTCAACATTGAATAAATTCATGCTAATTGCTCAAAATTAGTGAAGTATACATTAATATTCATATTCCGCTAAAGGCAAACAATACACCGACTCAGCATCCGTTTGTTAAAGAGTTATAGATTACAGAAGTTGTTTTTTATTTTAGATTTACAATACTCAGGCCTTTCTAAGCGTAAGTATTTTATAAACAGGAAATTAATTGGGTTTCTCTTTTTGAGTAAACATAACCGTTATTAACAAAAGCATCTTCCCGTTCTCTTCTTCAATGTTAATCATTTTATATTAATTTCAGAGGAAATTTTAACAACTACTTCAGCGGGGTTGAAGGTAAAGATAAGGATTTTCTGTATAATGTTTAGGAATAATATTTTTTTTTTGTTTGGTTAAATTAGATTTTTAATTTGGACCAAGTAGTGAATACTAATTACTGTAAAATCACATATTTTCGTGGGGTCAAATTTTCGTGCTTTGAGGAAAATCCCTTGGTTCGTGGGGATTTGATTTCGTGGATCAAGAATAATTGAGCCCTAATGTATGTAATATTTTACATTTCGTGGTGGACATGAATTCGTGGGTCTTGTCATACCTCGAAAACAACGAAAATTAAACCCCCACGAAAATTTGTGATTTCACAGTAGTTTGAAAGGAGGTCCTCTCGTATTAATTACTAATTGATTTGATCAAAGAAACATTTTTACTCCCATTTAATTTTAAAACAGATAATTTGTTAAATCAGAATTGTTTACGTTATAAGTGGCACTTCAATCTACTTCAGTCGTAACTTAAAGTCAAAACATATGTATTTTGATTAAACTAAATACATCTCAAAAATATTTACATTGTGTTTTCAGATTTTCTTTCAATTTAAAGAGGTAAATAATAATGTAATTTTGTTTTAACATAAAAATGAGTTATCCACACTTTTTTTATTGGATTATCCAATTGTTTCAAGTGAACAAACTATCATAGTTGTCAACACCTTCCATTGTCTTTAACATCTTCACAGTCAACTCAGAGATAAGTCGTGGTTGGTTGGATCATGATTCCTTTCATCTATATCATAATTATTATACTAAGCAGGTAAGTACTGAAACAAATAAGATATCGATTGAAAATGATTTTTTTTAATCTGGCGAGGTAGAGGAATAAAATAGCGAAAGGCAGATAAACAACACTATTTAATACACGCATAACGAATTTAAAAAAATATTAATGAATTAACCTGACGCTATAAAGTTGCTTAACATAACTATGTATAATGAATTGAAGAAATTGGATAATTATCAAACATGAAATAAACTAATTATTGAAACCAACACATGGATTTGTTCAATAGTTTTTATTCATAAAAATCATGTTATGATTTCTTTTATACAGTGACAGCAATCAAGTGATGGCAGTTGAGTTTGATTTCTTTATTTTGGGTTATCAATGGCCAGTGAAATTTTGCAGAATTCAAAATGTAAGTCAAATTAAAAACATAATATGTATCAAAGAAATATGTTTTGACGACATTTATATTAATAACTATTTTTATTTTTTTTTACACAGTGGAACAAAGAACCGCCAAATACATGTAAATGGACTATACATGGACTTTGGTATGCAATAATAATCATCATCAATTCATCAAATAAAAAAAATCAAATATGCATTTCACACTCTACTGGGCTTGAACACTACTTGAGTGCGAATATAATTGACAAACACTTCAATTTTCATGAAATTAGCACAGTTTATTTTGCTTTACAGCCAAAAAAAATATTCATTTTTAAATCCTTCATATAGTGTGCATTTAAAAAAGTTTTTTTTCCAAATTATTTGCAAATTATTTTAGATATAAACATAAAATGCGATATACTGGTAATCTAAAGAACATGAAATGAATGTTTCATTTTAATAATCACATATGTACTTGAAGATAATCAAACCTTAAAATAAGAATCTTAGACTTAACTCAATAAACTGTTGATGCAAAGTATTCTTTAAATTTTGCGAACGTTGCGAAAGTTTTCAGGAAAAAAATATTCCAGAGGTAAGTTCCTTTTGTATTTTCTATAATCGATTGAATATATTAAAGCCAAAAAATATTATTAAATACAAGTAACGATAATTTTGCATTATTAATTTGTTTCAATGAATGAGAATTGGCCAGATCTTAGGTCAAAGATTGGCAACACATGAGTTTTCGTAATTTTTTACATTCATCATTCAAATTCTATTTTGTAATAGCTGAAAAGCAATGTATTTAATAATAACCGAAAATTTTTATTCATTTTATCAATTGAAATGGGAAACAAACATTTTCGAAACATATATTGAAGTATGATATACGCTTGTTATAGCTCTAAAATCATAACTTTATAAAAGAAGGTATTTTAATGAAACTAAGAATGAAAATACAAAGAATACTTTTAAGAATAAAATCTGATTGAGACATTATGAATGAGTTTAGTTAACTTTTCAAACATTATCTTTCTCTCTTAAGATACAAGATTTAAATGGTATAAAAATTAAGATTTAGACAATATTGATAATGATTGAAATTAAATAGAGAATACTAATTGACAGGTCATACGAATGGATGAAACACGGAACATGCACTGATGTTAATGGCACAAGGTCTTTGGAGGGATACTATACAAAGGCTGTAGAGTTGGCACATAGATACAGTATTTATATATATAAGATTCAATTTGTATAAGATTCATTTTTGTATTTAAAATGATAAATACAACATTGTTAATATTGATATAAACGGTTGAATAATTTTCATAAAATTACCTGAAATTAAGTTTGAGTCCACCTACCAGAAACAAAAAGTTACACAGAGTTTTAAAGGTCTATATCTGTTCATTATAAGTAATGCAGCAATTTCCCAAAAAAAGTTCTTTCGTTACCTGACGAAATTGAACAATAACTTCTTTATTGAAAAAATCTGGTATGGCGAACACACATCAGCATGTTTAATCTATGTAAACAAAAACGTGGTTCGGGACTTGTTTACTTAACAAAGGTTGGGAACTCTAAATCTGTCTTGTAACTCGACAACTGAAATTCAAAATTTGGATGTTCATTAAAAATACCTATTTTAAATATTTGTAAACTTAAAATGGTATAGAAGATGTAAAAAGATTGAACTCAAATTAAAACCAAAATCAAAATCTAAAATAAATATATCAAATTTTCATATCAATAGCTTTAAAAACAGACGATTGGTGTCATGATTTTCAAAGTGTTGCTGGAATTGAGATTGATGAAAATGACGTCGTCAAACGCGTAACCGGCGCATGGAAATGTAATAAATTATTTTTGGTATGTTTTATATACATCAAATACGGGACAAAAAGTACAGAAAGGACACTACATACTAGATTTTTAAAATATAGAATTTGTTTTTAAATGGCATGGATTAAACTATAATTTTCCCTCTAAATCTAAAAAAAATCACTGCGTGTAAGAAGTAGAGTACTGTTTGTTATGCGCAGACATGCAATTGGGAACGTTCTGGGTTATGATCGTCGTCCAACAAGGTGTATTCTCTGCTGCCTAATATGTAACGTGATCTTTCTACCAATTTTTTTAAATTAAAATTGGAATCTGCTAAAAAAAATCGGTCAGAAGTGAATTTAAATAAGTCCCTTAGTCAAAAATGGGTTTTAACTGAAAAAAAGTATTCATATGGATGTTACTATAGACGCATGTGAAGCAGAAAAGGATATCATGACGTTATGAGGACTTACAGTATGCTTGCTTTCGTGCGTCGATGTACACTTACATTGTTTCTTTTTTTTGTCGTAGTTTTCTTATTAAACGTAGTATCGTCATGAAACTTGAAATACATGATCATAAAATGTTACTTTTTGTTTTGACATAAAATAAAATTTGATTTAACAAAGAAAAAAATAAACTGGTTTTTCATGTCTACGACCTTTCTGGTCAACCCTCGTAATATACAATATATGATTTGTGTATAAATTTTATGAACGTTAAAGTTATTATAGATTAGGGGGCAATAATTTTTTTTTTGCATTTGGTCTTCTATTAATTTCGCGTAGAAGTAAATGAATAATTCAAAACTATTTTATTTTTTCAACGGACCTGCAACTTTGCACATTTTTATTAAAACAAATGCAGAAATAATTATTGAATAAGAAATCCAACAAGTAAGAAGATAATGTGGCATGATTTTCTAAAATACCACATATTCTCAAAAAACATTAAACAATTGATTACTTTTAAGTCAAAGAGAAAATTGTATATGTCAATTTTTTTTAGAAAATATGCTTGACGCATGCATCATAATATAAAAAAAAATACATTTCACGCATTTAATGCAGGATTTTTCTCTTTATAATATCTGCGTTTATATATTTGTATGAAAGATACGTCATTCCTGCATATTTACCTTACTGGAAAATCTACTTGATTATAATGATTGTGCTTTATAAAAGACAAATATGTAGTGAGATAAATGACTGAAAAAAAAACCATTTTGATAGACATGGTAGGCATGGTAGGTTGTCCAAATTAAAGATTGATTGCTATTTATTTTGATTGTTTGTATTTTGAAGCTTTTCCGTGTATTACTAGTAGAAAGTATTTCATTCCTTAACAAGTACCATGTGAACTAGATGCATAATTGTATGACGTGCAGATTTAGTAATGATTTTCATCCACATCAAGTAGAAAAAAAATTACCAATTTCCTTCCTTTTATTAATTAAATTTAATGATTTATTTATTTCTTACATTATCTTCACATGTGTACACTTTGATTATTTTTTTTTTCAAATAAAAAAAAAATCATTCGGTAAATAATTTCATTTTGCCAAACAATTTCGCTGATAACATTGTCCCACATATAACTTTAAAACAGTGAAAAAACCCCGGCTTAGTCATGCACATACAATCATATGTAAAATTGCTCAGTTATTGGAAACCAGATGTTTAACACATATGGTTATATCTTTTTATATTAAGAAGATTGTGGTATAGCACATATTGTTAAGTGTTTCTCGAACGTGCTATTTGATATAAACGCATTTGAAGTGTTCTTTATAAAAATTATCCATATGCACTTCTGGGGTCCTGCGAATTTACTTGTTTTAATTTGTTATATCCGTTTAACGAATTCGTTAGAGTATACATTTGGAGCAGTTAAAACCTAACTGCTTAATGGCACAAGTGCCGAAAATGTCTAAATTTGAAGCCCTTACACAATATACATGTAATATGACCTCTCTATATGATTGAAAAATTGAAAATTTCTCGAACGATGTGAACAAGATATAATCAATCAACCTCAGGCCAATCATCAAACGAGCTACAGATCTGCAGTTATTTTTACTGTGTAAGATAATAAGATAACCTATGTTATCTATATGGTCTTTAGCTTCTGATGTACAAAAACAGGAAAAAGAAACAAGGAAGACTTAAAAGATTAAAGATTGTATGATTTAAGAAAAATATAAAAACGGAAATGAAAATATCTAAATCTTAATAAATATATCACCCCATCTCGCTCTTTGTCGGGCGACATCACTTCTAAGTATCTAACGTACCCACATTCACATAGTTTATTTTAAACTTAAAGAATTACTTAAAATGTTCTGTCTTTACTAAAAAAAAAGGCAATAAGAGAACTTTTGACAGCCGGTGCTGATAAAATTAAAGAATGAAAACATCTTACTGATTGCCCTAATTTTTTTTATCATGACAAGGACTGCAATACATGTCTTGATTTATTGTTTAGCAGATAAAGCCATAGTGACTATAATAAACTAATGCGTTTTCTGATCAACAGAACTCAACTCATTAAAAAGAACATCATTGCATACGTCGAACAAAAACGGTAGTAACACTTGCATAATTGTTACTCTTTTTCTTCATTCCGCCATGATGAACCTTACGGAAACGTATAACCGCCTCGTGTTGTTGTTTTAGGACCCGATATTATGATATAAAAATGTTGCCAAATACAGTTACTATAAGGTTCGGTGATATAATTATGACAACAATCTCTGACGAATACTTCTTTTTTTATATGTTTAAGACGACTTATACGCTTTGATATATCCAAGTTGAATTCCTAAATGTCGCACATAAAATAATGTGTAAACATTATGTCGCTAAAATTAGATTTCGCAGACATTAGTGCAATATAACATATATGAAGACTTCGCTAAGACGACTAGATTTAATCATAGAGAAAAAAATTCTACAAAATTCGAATGACTTGCAACATCAGATTTATACAAATACAAGATTTTATCAGTCCAATTTGGGCCCTTGGAGGAGTAAAAAGATTTACAAACAAAAGAAGGGGGAGGATCCATTTGATAGAAAGAACATGATCTTACATATAATGAGAGCAGTTGTTAAAAATGTGCTAGTATATAAGAGATATACTGAAAATACATACATGTATTGTATATGTGTTAATAAAATAATATTATAGTCAAAAGCAAAAAACTGGGATAAAATACATATATAAATATCAAAATATCCTCAATTAAGGTAGATAATCAAGGAATCTAGCAATTGATCTAAGGATGTCGGGGTCTTAATTAGTCATGCGCAATAAAATAAATAATCATAAGA